TCTGCCAGTAGCCGCTCTTCAGGTCCATCGATGAAAAATATCGAGAGTGGCGCAGCCGGTCTAGAGTGTCGTCGATGCGGGGGAGTGGGTAGACGTCTTTCTTCGTCACCGTGTTCAGCTGCCGGTAGTCTACACAGAACCTAAGCGTCCCGTCTTTCTTCTTAACCAGTACGACTGGAGAGGCCCAAGGACTGCTTGAAGGTTGAATTATGTCGTCGTTCAGCATTTCTTGAACTTGCTCCTGGATCGCCTGCCTTTCCTTAACGGAGACTCTGTATGGCGATCGATGCACAGGGCGCGCGTCGTCCTCGGTAACGATGCGGTGCTTCGCAACGGTGGTTTGGCGCACCTTCGACGACGTGGCAAAGGAGTCGCGGTATTCGGCGAGAAGGTTAATCAACTGTCGTCGTTTCGGGCCCGGGAGTTTAGGGTCAATGTCGAGCTGCGCTGGCGACGCACTGTCTTGCTGAGGTGGCGAGAATTCGTCAGTAATGGCGGCGACAGCGGCGGAGTTTTGGAGTTCCTCGACCTGGCCCACGGCTGCACCTTTTGTGAGGTGTTGCGCTTCGTTTCGGAAGTTCGTGACGAGGACCACAGTGCGGCCATCCTGAAGTTCAGCAACTCCTCTTGCGACGCCTATTCCTCTTCCCAGAAGCAACTGGAGGCTTCCTTCGAGCAGAACTTCGCCGCAGAAATCTTCGGTGATCCCGACGGGTACGAAAACACTCGACCGCGGCGGTAAGTTAACGTGGCTGGCGAGGACTCGGACCGCAGATGACGTCGCTTTGGGTTCCTCCGGTGGTGAAACAGGCTTTCGCAGCGTCAACCGGTTTGCTCCGAGGTCGATGACGGCACCATACTCGCAGAGGAAGTCCATTCCGAGGATAACGTCCCTCGAACAGTCTTGCAGAACGACGAACATGACAGGGCACGTTTCACCGTGGATGTCGACGCGAGCAGTGCATCTTCCGACTGGTGTGATGAGATGTCCTCCGGCGGTTCGTATTTGGGGTCCTTCCCACGGCGTCATGACTTTTCGAAGGCGGCGGGAGAGCCTCCCACTCAAGACTGAGTAGTCTGCTCCGGTGTCCACGAGTGCCGATGCGTCGAGGCCGTCGATCACAACGTTCAGGTTGTTAGACACCGATGCAGGAGCGTCGTTGTATTGCTTGGGGTCGGGAGAGTGGGAGCGCTCCGTCGTTCTTGGAGGCTCTTTACGTCGGTTGTCTTCGGCAACTCCACCTCCAGGGGTTGCCGCGCCTAGTTTCCCCGGTGAGGAGCGAGGGGTGACAGGCTTTCACGTCGGGGTCGGTGCATCGGCGAAGCTGGACGTCGGGGCGATGGCGACCGGAACTCTCGGCGGGACGCAGGCTCGGGGGACTGGGGTCGTTGCAAGTACTCGTCGATCTCCCGAGGGCGTTCACCATACCTGGGACGCGGGTCGCTTGGGTGGAATCCACGCAGCCCGAGTCGTCGGTATGGGCATCGGCGGTACACATGGTCAGCTTCCCCGCAGTGGTAACACAGCGGGCGTCGGTCGGCCGTCCTCCAGACGTCTGTCTTCCTCGGCGCAGGTCGGTCTGGGTGAACGTGCGCTTGATCTTCCTGTCGTCGGGGGTAATGCGGCGTTGGGGCGTCTCTTCGGGGTGGCGACGTGGCTTGGCGGGGGGCTTGCGGCGGTCGTCGGGCCATTGCGGCCTAGCTCAACATCGGTTCCTCCGGTGCCACCGTGGTGACGGGAACCTCTGGTTGAAGCGCCCGATGCACTTCTTCGCGCACAGCCTCGGCAATGGAGAGTGTCGCTGGACGACTTGCGGCTGGCAGCAACTGGCGGAGTTCCTCCCGGACGACCTCCCGGATAATTTCGCGGATGTCCGTACCAGGAGCGTTCTCGCCGCCAAGCAGCGCGGTTGCAGCGACACTTGGACTTGGATGTCGCTGGTAGTGGGAAGCGCGCGCTTGAAGGGCGCGCTCGATGTTTGTCGCCTCGGTGACGAAGGCTTCGACGGTGCCCGGCGGGTTGCGCACGAGGCCTCCAAAGATGTCGTCTCTCACCCCGCGCATGAGGACCCGCAGCTTCTTGTCGTCTGTGGCTCGTGGGTCGGCACGGGCGCTCAGGCGGAGGACATCTTCTACGAAGCTCGTGACGCTTTCGTCGGGGCCCTGCGTTCGAATTCGGAGGAGATCTTCTGCCTTCTCCCGTCGGTGTAGGGTGGCGAACGTCCGCTGCAACTCGGCCACACAGATGTCCCACGACGTAAGCGAAGCCTCGTGATTCTCGAACCAATACCTCGCAGTACCCTCCAGCGAAAAGTAGAGGTTCTGGAGGCACTGCTCCGCAGTCCACCCGTTGTGGCGCGCCACACGCTCGTAGTGCTTGATCCAGTCTTCGACATCCTCGTGGATCTCGCCGTGGAAGGGTGTCGGCATACGGGGAGCGGCGGGCAGGTAGACGATGGCAGGAGCGGCGGGCGTCGGCGACTGGTTGGCCATCGTCGGCTTTGTTGGCTGCTTGGTCCTGGGCGGCAGAAGTTCGTGTTCCGGGGGTAGACCTCGGATGCGGCGACTTGACCTGGTCTCGATCTGGTCTTCGTCGGGTCCTCGGGAGGCTGGGTCCGGACTTGTACTGCGGGACCTCGGAGGGGTACGCGGCAGGGGCATGCGTTACCCCGCACCTCCACCAGAATGTCACGGGTGGTGATTCGTGACCAATAAACAAGAAATAAACAGAAATAAATAAACGTTTAATGTGGCGAACTTGTGCCAAAAATAAAGAAGGAAACAGAAGAAAGCAGAGCGTCGCGGGCGTCGAAGTCGGCGTGTCAGCAGAATCGAGCGCTGGGGCGAGACTGACTCGACAAGGTCGCGGGCGGCCTCTTATCTAGAGTGCGTCGCTATCTCGAAGATTCGGCGAAAGCGGTTCGAGCGTCGCGTGATCGGGGCGAGAATGAACACGCACTTCCTAGAAAACAAAAGCAGGATAAATGATAGAAGTTACGGGCGGTACATGAATAAACGGGAGCTTTCTGGAGGACCGCGACCGAGCGTTGCTTTCTCAGCCTTGCGCGCGGCAATATATATATGTATATACATATATATATATATATATATATATATATATGTATATATATATATATATATATATATATATATATATATATATATATATATATATATATATATATATATATATATATATATATATTGTGAGGGCGCTTCTGCGTAGCACTGGGTCATTTCATCCCAAATCGCCCAGGCTAAAAGTGCGGAAATTTTATATTTGCGGGAAAAGATATATTTTCGGTAAGAAAGGGAGGACATAAAGAGCAAGTTTCCGGTATGTCTTCTTCTCGAGGTACGGTGCGTAGAAGATTCTGCGGCTGAAATTAGCGTTTTTCCTGTCGTCGCAGGCCGTACGTTTGACACCCTCTGCTACCGTTGCTTTTTTCTTTACCATCTTAGAAAAATATTCCATAATATAGTTGGTACTGTAAAGACACTCTGGTAAAACTAGAACTTAATAAGTGTTCCTAGATTTTTATTTTTTTAATAAATGTGAAACTCACTTTTTTTGGTTGATATTTGGTCAACTTTGACAGGCAACTATGTTGGTTAGACTTAAAGGGGCCCTGCAATGACTTTTTGACTGGTTTTTAGTTTGCACTGAACCTGAGCGTACTGAACGTAGTAACTTAATCCAACTTTTCTTTTCTCAAATTTCGCTTTATTTTAAAAGTTATAGGCAAATCAGAATTACAAAAACAAGCAAAAAATAACCTCCTTCATGACGTCGTAGGTCCTGCCTTGAGTGGCCTTGAACTAGAGGAGGAGTAGTGAGCTCATCGAGCGCACACGGCTGCCGCACTCCGTGTCGACGGCTCGAGAGGGCGCCACTAAAGCACGTGTTGAATTGGCTGTATGAAGCGGGCGGCCAGGGCAGCTCGTATTGCATTTGCAGCGCGACTAAACACTAATTCGGCATAACATTTCATTGGCCACAAACGACAGCAAACACGGGGTAAAGATCAGTTCAGAACGGGAGCCACTTCGCGCTGACGCACCGCCAAATGGCCGAATCGCCAAGAGGGCCCGCGCCGAAGGCCTTCGAACGCTCGGAACCGGTCGAATTCTTGAGCCGGCATACGACCACAGCGCCGCCGCGTACATCCGGGACCTTTCTACGCTCCTCGTTTGTCGTAGCCTCATCCCACTAGCCTTTTCTAGTATGCGCCGTTTTTTTCCGCCGCTTGGTGACGGGTATGTCGACGGGTCATTTCTCGTTTCCGTACTTTCTAAACTGCATTTGTTTCTTTTCTGATCTAAAATAGTGAACAAAATCTACTTTCATACATAATTGAAACGGTTCGCGACACTTATATTTTGTATCTCGACTAAAAAAAAGCTCTTAGCGCCTTTGACCAGTGGCAAGCCCAGGACCAAAGACGTCACATTTTGCGCGCTTTCGGTACCGCGGGTCGCCCTCGTCGGTGGAGGAGGTTTCCGCGTCGTCCGGTTAAAATATGACGCACTGATATTTAGTTACTCTCTCCGTGCCCGCTGGCTTGCCCCAACCCCAAGAGACATGGAAACCGCGAAAAAGGTAGACGCTTAAATATGATTGCAGGGCCCCTTTAAAGACCTAACAAAGATGCCATCTCCCAAGGATACCGAGAACATTTTAAGCTCATTGTGTCCTTAAAAAAAATGGTTGAACACCACACACATGGACTAAAGGCAAACGCGACCGGGAAAGGCAAATAAATACTGTTTGGAAAATATCTATTATGCCAGGATAGGGCCAGCAGAACTTTGGAGAGGAAAGTGTTAAATACAGAGGTAGAAGAGGATACAAGAGACATCTCTATTTCACTTTTTTCTGTCCATGCGCACCGCGAAATGTTTTTTGGGGCAGGCACGCAGTAAAAATCATAGCGCAGAACCAGTCCATACTGTAGCAAAAATCATAAAAATAGCAACTGCTTTTTTTTTCCCGGGTTAGGCCTAGCTGCTTCTCGGCGAGTATCCCGATAAAATAAGGAACTGAAATTACTTCTCATGCCCATTTTTCCAGTCGCTTTCACTGGTAGTGGAGGTTGTTCCGTAGTAATTTGTGCATGCAAAGCTTACTAGCTTACTTATCTGTATGACACTGCTTGAGTAAATATTTGATATTTCTACTGCTAAATGGACATGCTAAATGAAAAATTTAGCATGTCCAAGACCTTGGACGAAAGGAAAAAAAGAACCGGAAGGAGATTGGCAAGCGGTCGAGGCTTGATGACATTGCTGCAGATTTTAAGAAAAAGCAAAAGGTGCAGAATTATCAGACACCTAAATACTTTTGCATTCTGAAGTTATGATATTCCAACAGTGGCAATGTATTTTTACCCAGACCCAGGAGACGAGGGCAGCACCTCAAGAGGATAGGATACTTCGACATCTCCTCCAGGAGAAAGAGGGGAAAATAAAAAGACTTCAGAAAGAGCTTGCCGAGGAACAGGCTCACAGCCGGAGGCTGGGTTTGGCCCTTGCAATGAAAATTGGTGTGCATGCTTCTCTTTCTTATTACGAACTGAGTCTTTTAAAAAAAGGAGCTATTATAACCTGCATTGCCGTTCAATTTCTACTTGGTTTTTCAGAAGCTGCCTCAGAACCGCAATGGAGGAGGCCTGGTACTTCAAGCGAGGAGCATCTGTTGGCTGAACCACCGTCTTTTGAAGGCATTGAACTGCTCGGTAAGATTCTAGTGTACAAATTTATTTCATCTTTTGATCATGCTTATCCGTGCATCTAATTTTGTTTAGAAGACTCGCCAAGTCGTCTAGTAGAGGAGGTCCCCAAAAGTCCAGTGCCATCAACCTCGTACACAGGCAAGTTTTAAGCGTTTTAAGTTTGTGTTGAGCTTTTACCTGTTAAATGACTGTTAAATGCAATAACAGACAGTAAGATTATCCTGCCCAAAAACTGAGAAAAGTAAATCCGATTTTAATTCTGATACTCTCGAAAATACCTGTAAATTTCTGCAAGCCCAAATGCTGCGCTGGGCAGATGAATACACGGTGCCATTTGACAGAAGGCAACCCTCATGTAGTCACTGTAGTAAATAGAAACTTGTCATCTAGAGGAAGAGCTTATATGTTTGCTGCCTGACGTGGACCATAACTGTCCATCACTTACTGGCAAAGGAAGAAGACTGATTTATTCACAAAGAAAAACGAGAGCGAGCACAAAATGCTGCCATGACCGAGTTGAGGTGCCATATACTCGATTCACCCTTAAGCTGACAGTGCAGTGGAAGGTATGCACTGGATGTACCAATCGGAGCCAGCAACATGCAACATCAACGTGCATTGTCATCGCGCCAGAGAGTGCGGTGACATCCCGCACAGCTGGCTCTGAATTTGGTCCATCCAGCACGTATCTTCTGCTGCAATGTCAGCTTAGGGTGAACAGAGTATAGTCTGCAATACAACCGTAATTTTCCACCACGCCGTCCACATCGACAGTCACCACCGATGCCATGTTCGCAGATAGAAGGAGACCGGCATGCAACGCGCGCGACCAAGCTCTCCTTGACCTCTGATTGGTCCGTCGTTGCAGTCGTTCCCGAACGTAACGAGAAAGTTCAGCCCGGCTCAACTCCTTACGTTGCAAACGAACACGAACAAAACGACCGTTTGGCACTTCGTTGCTATGGTAACTTGTTCCAACCGGTTGCATTCGTTCGTAAGCGTAGTGGTCGCTCCGAACGCAACTGTCTGAACGGGCCTTCAATTGCATGTGCAAGTGACCCAAAGATTAAATTTTCTAAATCAACAGTAACCTTAAAGTTTGTTGATGGCAGTTGAATTAGTATCTAAGCAGTTTTCCTTTAAAGGGCTCCTCCAACGATATTTCTGCTTCTGCTTCTTTTTTTTTTTGCGCTCCCTGCCTTTGGTGGTTCGGGAAATTCGGGCAACAAAGACAAGACCGCAAAAAGGAATGGTGCATCATATTTTAATTTGACAAGGCGCAGAACAGTTGATAGATGGTGGCGCAGCAGGATGCTAAATGCGCGTGGCGGGTACGTTAAAAGAACTGGCTTCCTGATTGGCCAGGTCCACCAAAAGTTTCTTTCTGAGTGCGGAATAATAAGTGACTGTTCTTACCTCATAATTATTTATAAAAGTTATTTTTATTGAGCTCTGAGAGTTAACATTTTAAGAACTAGATGTAGTTTAATATAGCACGAAAAGAAGAAACAACAAAAGCAAGTGTTTTGTGATGTGCGCCGTCCCGCGGCATCCGTGTCGCGGAAACTGAAACCAAACTTTTAGACGACACATTGTACTTACAATAAAATAAAATACAATAAAATGCTTACATGCTCTCTCTTTTCGTGCGCTTTCACGAAACTCGGCTAGATGAGTGGGGACCCCAGTCACCACCGCGGCGTGCAGGGGGCGACCTGGGTAACGGAGGGACGATGCACGAATGCAAGCACGGAGAGGCGAGCTGAGCGCCGGCGATGCGTGCGCGGCTTTGGAGAGGCGGCCATTCTATTTGACACGCCAGCGGCTTAACGGCGAAGGAATGTTGTGCACCTGCGTAACCCCAGTCCAAGGCAACACTGTACCAAGGATAGCCGACGCTAGAGTCACTATACAGCTACGATGTGGATCTGGCTGTGGAGGGGTGACAGCATGTATCGCGCGTACCATTGGCAGCTCCATTTACGTCAGAGTGGTCTGCTTTTGTAAATTTTATTTTCTTATAACTTCCCAGCTAAATTTTATTTTGGAAAGCTTTTTTTTTTGTTATTGCGTTGTTTGTTGTCACTTAGCACAAGTTTCAGACCAATAAGAAAATGATTGGAGGGGCCCTTTAAAGTAAGAGTTTGCTTATGGCACTTCTTCCTTTTCGCCAATCCTATGTCAAAACCTACTCGAAACCTATCTTGAAATGTGCTCAAAACGTGTTCACAATTTACTTGACATCTATTGCGAAACTCGCCTTGAAACTGTGTGTTCACCAACCATGGGCTCTTTTGGAAAAACAAGCTGACCCCTGGTGAAATTCGAACCTGTGCCAGTGCCGGTCAGTGCAGTTAAAAATCAATGCCTTCGTCTACTCGGCCACTGTCACAAGTCTGGATGGGTGCATGTAGATGGGCGTTATAAACCACACACCGGCACGTCTGTGGTAGCAGATTGACACGCTGGTGAGATACTTCACGGTATTATTTGTTTTCAGGAAACCTTTCCGGAGCGGAAAAGTCTACCGACCAACCTTCACTGGGCCGAGCTCCTTTTCCGTCAGCTGACCAGCAACCGGGCAAGTACAGAAATGCTCAAAAGGGGCAGAAAGCAGATTTCTGATACAGTTTGTTTACGGTGGTAATTAACTTTACGGGCTGTAAGGATCCTAAAAATGCCAGAGTTGTGATCATGCGCACCATATTTTTGTGTTAAAACAGCAATTCAAAATGGCAGCCAGAATGACAAAGGGTGCCCATCAACAAACAGCAAGTGAAGGTTTCCCGCGCCCCTGACTGGCCGACCCGTAGGAAATTTCTTGAATGTGTCTGTGCATCGTAGCCCAAACCTTGTTTCTCAATGGCGAGTCTTTTGTCGCACCATTGTGCCATGGAACTATCAAATCTTTTGCCCCGCAAGCTCGATAGACCGTAATGGACAGCAGGCATGGGGGCCATATTGTACGATGCCATCCCGATGAGCGACTTTGATGACGGTCATTGGAAGCGTTCGCTCTAGGAAGCATGCTAAGCGGATACAAGAAGGTGCAAAGAAAATGTATTTTACTGTTTTCAATACGATGATTACAGTACTGTTGCCCACACTGCGGAAAATGTGTTTCTCTCGAAGTATTATTTGAAACGAGCCTAAAAAGGTAAAATGATGTTTGCAATCTTTGCAAAATGTAGCATTTTCATTAGTCAACTTTTACCGGTGGACCAGGGTGTTTCCTTCGTAGAGAATAGTTTGAATTTATTTCTATTGCAACGTGCTCGATATTTGGTTTTATAGTCTGAAACTTTTAATATGTAATATTAAAGTTTTAATATTAATTAATGTTTTATACGCAACTTTTCAGAATCTGCGGATCCCTCTCTACCCTTCGTTCATTCGTACGATTACGCAGTAATGTTTCCCATATTGATTGAGCCAGCTGGGGTAGAACACCTACTTAGATCATTAAAGCCTTCTTCTGCCCCTGGTTGCGATCTAGTTAATCCAAAATTCTTAAAAAGCACAAGTGTTTATTCCTCTATCATACTAACAAAGATCTTTCAGCAGTCACTCGACAATGGTTTTCTACCCGCGGAATGGAAAGTCGGGAAGGTGATTCCACTCCACAAATCAGGTAACAAGACCTCTGCACTCAACTACCGACCCATATCACTCACCAGTATCCCCTGTAAAATTCTTGAACATATTCTGTTTTCCAATCTTGCTAACTTTCTCGAATCGAATTCATTTTTTACATTCGCGCAACATGGTTTTCGAAAAACTTACTCCTGTGAAACACAACTGGTGTCCTTCATGCATAAAATGAATATCATCCTCGACCACTCATCATCAGCAGATTGCATATTTTTAGATTTTTCCAAAGCATTCGATAAGGTCTGTCATAAGCTGCTGCTCTATAAACTGCGTCAACTAAACCTTGATCACAAACTTCTCACGTGGCTTGAATTCTTTCTTATTAACCGTTCACAATTTGTTTCAGCTAACGATCTAACATCCGAGCCGCGCAGTGTCCACTCTGGTCTACCGCAAGGCTCGGTGCTTGGTCCTCTTCTTTTTCTTATTTACATTAATGATCTCGCGTCAACTGTTTCCTCCCACATTCACTTGTTTGCTGATGACTGCGTACTTTTTCGTGAAATAACTTGCGATAATGACATAATCTGCCTTCAATCTGACCTTAACGCTATCTCTGTATGGTGCGAAGCATGGCGCATGGAATTAAATATTAACAAGTGTAAACTAATGCATGTGTCCAGAAAACCTTGCCAATTGCCAAAATACTGCCTTAATAACATACCCCTTGACCCTGTATCCTCATACAAGTATCTTGGCATTCATATTTCACATGATCTGACTTGGACCCCCATACCACATACGTGATTAATAATGCTAACCGGATGTTGGGATACCTTCGACGTAACTTTGCCCGAGCATCTTCGTCATTAAAACTACTGCTTTACACCACACTAATTCGCTCTAAATTGGAATACGCCGCGTCAGTTTGGGATCCCAGCCAAGAAAACCTAATAAACTCACTCGAAATGGTCTAAAATAATTCTGTTCGTTTTATACTTTCTAACTATAACCGAACCGCGAGCATAAGTTCAATGAAGTCTAGCCTCAGCCTGCCATCTCTCGCATCTCGCCGTAAAGCTTTTCGTCTCAGTCTCTTTCATAAATTGTTTTACCATTCACATCTGCACGACGAACTTATTTTACCTCCTGAGTACATCTCATCTCGGTTTGATCATGCTAATAAGGTTGGAATTCCATCAGCCAGAACTAACGCTTTCTTTCAGTCATTTCTGCCACGCACATCTGACGAGTGGAATCGCCTTCCTGCTTCAATAGCCACTATCGAAGACTCCCATCACTTCAAGAACGCCTTAGCTAACATTGTATGATTATATGCCATTTTTTGTTTATTTGTATTACCATTTTTGCTGTACTCTGTTTGTTTAATTTCTTCTTGATTGTAACCACTCCCCTCTCTAATGCCTTTGGCCCTGAGGGTATACTAAATAAATAAATAAATAAATATGCACTAGCTGATACCTACTACACAATACAAAACCAAAACCAAGGTTCTTCAAAAACCTGGTTGCACCCTCCTTACCATTCTCTGATGTGGAAAGGGAGGGAGGCGCAGGTTGTGTCACAAGCTGCACCGGTGGATGTTGTATAAGGGCAGGGAGGTTTACCATTTTTACTTAGTGTGAGCAATTTTCTTGGGGTTGAAGATTAGGAAAGGGACAGCGTGTATCACGTTTGGATAAATTTTTGCCTGTAGTATACTTCTTTTCAGCGCAGGTTAGCAAAAGGCAAAAGTATTTTGCGATTCATTTGGAGCAACGCAGCAGATGTGTCAACTATCCGCAAGGAAAAGTGCACTTTGACTGTGCATTGTCATGTTCTACGCTCATACATTCTAATTGGGGCCCATCTTTTTCACTTGCCTAGTTCGCTGAAACCAAGGAGGTTATAAATACTAGGAGGGGGCACGTTGCAATATTGGTGAAGCCTAGTCATAAACAGTTTAAACGATTTTGTGCCCAGCGTGACCGCAGATCTCTCTGGCGATTGGTGCGCGTGACATGTCACGTGGGAGATGGATGGTTGATTGAAGGACTCCTTGCAGGCTTGCGCGCGCTCCGTCCGGTAGGTTTTATCAGATCGAAGGCTAGACTGTGATGTATTCTAGTACCCCATAGCATGACGAAGGCTAGCTATGGTCACGTGATGTGGTCACGTTGGCATGGTAAGTGAGGAGAGTAAGGAGGAAAATGAGAAAGAGGCGAGGCGTCAAGGGAGCATGGCTTGTGGAGGCTACGCAGCCGACGTCATGCCCTCTCCTACCCTTCTATCCTCCTTGGCTGAAACAGAGTTTAGTCTGTTAATCATTTTCGTGGATTTCAAGAGCCATTCTTGGGAGCAAACCATCTCCTTGTCCCAAATATTTCTGATGAAATAAGCTCTACACCTGAGTGCAAGTCAAGATAATACTGCTGACATACTGTGTCTATTTTGGTGCAACATAAGAAAAGTACAATCTTCGCCTTCAGCTCCTGATCGTTTCCTTCCGTCGTATGCGGCTGAGTGTTTGCTGAAGTGTTACTAAAGATAGAAAGGTTATGCTGGAGGCAAAGCTGTTACTATTTTTCTTCTGTGGCAACAGGGTATGGTATCGAATATTTAAGACAACCCTGAGACAGGGGGCACAGAAAGGGGACAGAACACGATCAAGTTTCTTGTGAGACTTCGTCGTGTTCTGTCCCCTTTTTGTGTCCCCTGTCTAAGGGTTGTCTTAAATCATGATTGTAAACCAGCTCGTTCTGCGTTTTGTCCCTTGTCCGTATCCCCAGTCTTGGGTTTACAACTATGCTAAACCAGCTCGGCTGCGCCTTATCACTCATTATAGTATCCAAATTGGTAAGGATTTCGAATCTAAGCAAAGATACTACCTTGCTTGCAGGATTCCTGCAGCCAGAGCCCGCTCTACCATGTGCAGGCCCTGCACCAGCAGTGCTGATCGAAGGAGATGGAATGGTAAGTGACCAAAATTGCTTTGAAGGAACAATGAAGACGATTTAGGAACTTTGTTTGACGACTGAAATAGGCTTCATGTATAATCCAGGGAATGTTGACCAATTTTTGGCCCTAATCGTCGCCTGCGTGTCGCACAACTTAATAGACTGAGCTCACTAATCGTTGGCGCATGCATCACGCCACCATAACTGTAGTTCACTGGATGCTGATGGCAGTACACCAGACAGCTCGTGCTTTGCTCGCGTAGGCTAGGCTTGCAGCTGGCTTGTGGCACGTGCAAAAAGACTGCAGCTCCCACGACACATTGCGGCAGCGGCGGCCATATTTATGGTCATATTTACGGCCATATTTACTAGAGTCCTTCGTTACTTTCCTAGTCATGGAACTTCCCCGTAACACTATGTGAGCGCTTCGTGTGCTGCAAAGCGTGACTGTGCAGTGGCGCTAGCGTAGACAGTTCAGCATAACTGGACAGCAGATGGGCATTCAGTAAACGCAGTGGTTGGCCCCCCGGAGCCCACAATCAAGCCCCACGGCCGGTTCGCTCATCTTGCGGTTGCGGTTAAGAGGAATTTTTATGTCGCAATACCAGCTCCACGGGGACATGGAAGTACCTAGCGCCCCTGCCTGATGGCGCGAAAATCCGTGTCACTTCAAGCACTAAAGTTGGATTTCGCATGCAGACACTGACCGCAGAGGCTTGCAATTCGAGTCTAATTAAAAGCACCCTTGCACTTTAGGAGTGGCAGGTAAAGTTGCGGCCGGGGAACACCAAGATGAGCCAAAATGATAGATAAATCACGCTACACAAAAGCAGAGACGGGACTTGGCGTGGAAGGCTTCGAATTGTGGCATGATAGGACTTCTATGTTATAAATTATATTTTACGCGTGTCTTACTTTTTAACTGTGATCCTTTTTTAAAAATTGTGCTTGCTGCGTCTAAGTTTTTCTTTCTTGCTCAACTTATCTTTTATAAGTTAGTATTACAAAATGTTATTGTTATTATTATTTTAGTACTTAATTTTATTATATTGCTATTTTTATTATGACAATAAAATAATATTACAAAATATATATATGTACATAATATTACAAAACTGTTGTCACAGCAAAATGTAGAAACTTTTATCGCATTTCACGCAAGTAAAGGTTTAATCTTTTATCTTGGTTTTACAACTTTCTCATTGCAACTACAGCTGCTAGATTTTTTTTTGTGGATGTTTCAATTTTTGAGTTTACACAACTGCAGTGTCTGCTAGGACCAAATATGCGCCTTTTGTTATTGAATGAGTCGTAGCAAGCACCTTGAATATTGAAAAAACAGATAGAATTGTAGTTGCTGGGGAAACAACGTTTGTTTCGACCCAGTTTGTACGAAAGTCATGCTAATGCCATTATGAAAGTCATGCTGATACCATTATCTTGGCTTCCTTTTAACAAACATGAAACCATGTTATCAGCGCAGTAACTTAGCTTGATCTTTTTTTTTCTTCAGGCTTGTCGATTTAACAGGTGATTCAAACAATAAAAAGTCTGTGGCACAGTCGTGCAAGTGGTAAAAAAAGCAAGACATGCGTAAAATATAAATCTAAAAAAAAAGGTGTTTAGTGTTGGCGCGATTTGAACCCAAAACTTTCACGCAGCGATGACAAGACTCACCACCGTTACCAGTACGCCACGCAAGACGGCAGAACTTGCGCAGATGGCGCAGACGTATATGTATAACACCACTGCTTTTGTCTTGCGTGATTTATCTTTTATTTTGGTGCATATTGACCTTTTCCGGCTGTAACTTTACCTGCCGCTTTTAAAGTTTAAGGGTGTGGTTAATTATACTGGAATTGCAAGCCTCTGCGGTCAGTTTCTGCGAGCAAAGTCAAACTTTTGTGCTCGAAGCGACACGCATTTCTGTACCATTAGGCAGGGGCATAGGGTGCTACATAGTTCCATGTCCCCAAGGAGCTGGTCACGTGACATAAAAATCCCTCTTGGCCACAACTGCAAGATGAGCAAACCGGCCAAGGGGACTGATTTTTGTCACGGGTGGGAGAAAAGTCAGAGTCTGCTCTCGCTGAGGGATGCTAAAATACTGTTAGCAGACACGTCGTCCGGTAACGCAAGGGAAAAGTGTGGTTTGTCTGCTATGAGGCATCGACACCATTGTGGGCCGTATGGTACTAATTATGTCCCACGGGCGGGTGGAGAGGTCGGGAAAAAAAAAAGTTAAACTGAGAACATCTACTATTTCCTGAAGGGCGCAGTTGATGACCTGTGCTTCATTTGGAAATGCGAATTCCATTCGTTCTCCTGTCGTACATAACCTGACATCCGCTGGTGAATAAATAAGAATTAGAAACAAGCACCTACCTCGCATGCGAGAGCTTTCCTCTTCCGTAAATAGGTGAGGACTTCTGACCTACTTAGGATTATGAAAGCTCTCGTATGCCAGGTAGGTGTTCATTTCAAATTCTTAATTATTCTCGGGTGGATGTTGGGTTACGTACGACAGGAGAACGTATCCAAATTTCTAAACGATGCACAGGTTGTCGATTGCGTCCTTCAGGAAATAGCGGAGGTTTCCAATTTAACTTTGTTTTCGATCTCCTCTATAATCTCACCACCTGCTAGCTAGTATCTGCTAGCAAGTGGCGTCTCTGTTCCGTCAGCAAATGACACCTCGTGGCAGACGAACCGCGCCTCTTTTGTAGCAGACGAACCCCGATCCGGCTGAGATCGTGCTCTCACCACTGACCAAAATCGGGCTCCATGATTAGAAAGTTTTAACATATTAGGTGACAGCGTCTCTAAATCGACTGGAACAGAAACTGCCAGTAAGCTTCACAGCCATTCTTTTTTTTTCGGCATGTCAACAGATTTGCAGCTTTCAAATGCGAGGTTAGAATGCCAGAGTTTAAACGGTACTGGATTATCTGAGACCTTAATTTTAAGCACAGTCACGAAGAATGAGCATCATGCTGCCGATTCAAGTACTTTGCGCAAAGGCAAGTGTGAAATTGTGGGTTGCGTGTGCGTAGTCGCGCACTGGAGACTTTGCGCGAAGATAAGCGTGAGTTTGCGGGTCGTGTGTGCGTAGTCGCGCACTGCATGACCAGGCATGAGTGGCATTTTCATTCGTAACTGCTGCATTTGTTAAAGCATATGGGTAAACCTGCAGTCCAGAGGAAGAGCAAGAAGACACGCGAGCAGAATACGCGCAGCACGGCCGACCTGAACACAGTCTTTCAGCACGAGAGCTGCCGCTCGAGTCCCGTAATGAAGTTTGAAATTGTGCAGTAGATTTTCAGTGAGCTTGCTGTTCTTAGATCCAAATAGGCAAGTAGCACCCTAAAAAACAGTCCGCTTGCTTTTTTTTTCTTGGTCACAGGTTTTTTTGTGAGTATAGGTAAACGTCCACAATTACACCTTCAAAGAGGCATCTCCGCGTCAACACGGCTGGTTCCTCTCTTAAAGCTTGGCATTTTAGTGAAGGTATGTTTAAAGTATTCTCGTATGCAAGAAATTGTCAAGCAAACGGAGGATAGCAAGAGTATAGGTGGTTTGTCCTTACTTTTGACAGGAGGTTCTGTTCCTGTATCAAACTTCGGTGGAGGTTTCATGACCAAAAGCATTATTAAGGACTCTGGTTTCCCATTCAAAAGTAGTGTAAGGCTTCTTCCTCATTGATTTTCTCATTCTCGGCGTCCACGGTGGGTTCTTTGCTACCTACCAACACCACGAAGTCTTCGTTTGTTGGAGCACCGCACACCACCACAGTGCTGTCAACATCCACGTAGAGTTTGCACAGCCCCTTGAAGACCTAATACCCTTGAAAAAAGAATTTCAGTGCCCTTAATACTCCTGGAATTTATTTGCATTCATTGTATTTCTTAAACATAAACATGCAGGCGGGTCAGTTATTGTCATTATTTGAATATCGGGAAAACTTTGTTTCGGCTCTTTTCTTTAAAACTTAGGGCCAAGCAAACTCGTGACAATAAAATGGCGTGTGCACTTAACCCGCAACGGCACATGATCTTGTTATATGGCAGTATCATTATGAAGTTCAACGTTGGGTTTGATAATGTGACTAAGACTCACTGTTTTGCCAAACTGTGGTAGTCTACTAGATGGAATGTTTTCCAGATTAGTAGATTATAGTGTTCACAAGGAAATTCTTATTGAATGCAGGTTCACCTTGGCAGTGGACTAAAAGTCCCCAAGCTTAAGCTTGATGATTTGGTATCGAAGCTACCGGAACAACGCTTCGTAAAGGACCTTTCCCGGACGATCTACTCTACTGCTGAGCTCTGTGCTCGCAGCGTGACCGGAGAGCCGAGCCGGCGCTTTCTGAAAGAGGGCGCGAAAGGAAAGCTGCCGGTGACACCTGCAAAGATGATGGCCCTTGCAAGTAAGTGCATAGAGTGTCAAAATATATTAGAATGAAAAGAGGTCAACTTTCAACAAATAATGTAATAATGTAGAAAGTTGATAGAGTTGGTAAATGTCTTAAAAACAATGAGTTGAGTGATGTCCTGTCCTTGTTCAAGTCTTTTTTAAATTTAAACTATTTGGAAAACCATAAATTTATTGAGGTTCACTTGGAAAACTAACAGGAATAATAAGGTTGAAGTATTAGACAACTAAATATTTAATAAATGAACTTGTGCTCACAAACAAAATAAAATTGGTGGCGACTAGCGTTGGCGGTGTCGATGTCAGCGTGACTGGTAAGACCTTACCATAACCCAAGACTATCTGCCTGCAGGCACCATGTGCTTCCTTTTACACACATTCGACAGCCAAGAACATTTCCTAGAATAGAAAAAACAAGCTTTCATGGTTATATTTAACTGGGACATTCCAGACAACCAGAGGATAAAAAGAACTACCGGTGCCCAATATTGGGCCTCTGCCCAAGAGCTAAATGTGCTGCCATCTTGGCCATGCATGCTGCATTATGTTTTGTGAAAGCTTTGCAAATGCAATCCCTCTGCTTTTTTTTTTTTTTTTTGCTTAAAGGGCCCCTCCAACAATATAATTATGTTTCTGCTTTTTTTTGCGCTCCCTGCCTTTTCTGTGGTTTGGGGAACAAAGACAAAACTGCAAAAGAATGGTGCATCATATTTTCATTTGACAAGGTGCGGAATGGTTGTATCGATGGTGGGCGCGGTGTGGTGCTAAACGTGCGTGGCAGATGACTTTAACGGAGCTGGCTTCCCGATTGGCCAGGTCCACCAATAGTTTGTTCCTGAGCACGGAATAATAAGTGTGAATGTTCTTACCTCATAATTATTTATAAAAGTTGTTTTTATTGAGCTCTAAGACTAAGGAAAAAACTAAATGTACTTTAATAAAGCGCAAAAACAACAAAAACAAGCTCTTTGCGACATGTGAGCCGCCCTGCGGCATTCATGTCGCGGAAACTGAAACCAAACTAGCAGACGACGCATTGTACACACGTGCTCTCTCTTCTCATGCACTTTTACGAAACTCGACTCAGTGAGTGGGGACCCCGGTTGTTGCGGCATGCGGGGGGCGACGATGAAGGGACGATGCACGGATGCAAGCACTGAGGGGCGAGCTGAGCGCCGGCGATGCGTACGCGGCTTTGAGAGGCGGCACGCCCACCGCCCAGCGGCTCTGCGGCAAAGAAACACAAGGCACCACTGTATCAAGGATAGCTGACGCTAGAGTCACTATAGAGCGACGATGTGGATCCGTCAGCGGAGGAGCCGCCGCGTGTTTTGCGCCTACCATTGGCATCTCCATTTACGTCACGCAGTGGCCCACTTCTGTAAATTTCGTTTGCTTATAGTGTCCCGAATAATTTTTATTTTGCAAAGCGGTTACCGTATTTACTCGAATATAACGCGCCCTCGATTGTAACGTGTACCCTTTTCTCGAGGTCCGAAAAAAGAAAAAACGCCATGGCTTCGATTGTTACGCGCGCCAGATTTTGTAGGTTAAATACAGAAATTAAACTTTTTCTCACTTGGAACAAAGGTTTATTCCGAATGCTTCAATCTTGCGATGAAATGAACGGCGCTGTCTCTCGCCGGCAAGGTCGTAATCATGGCGACGGTCTGGTGCAGCGCTCGTGGGACAGTACGCATCACTCGTCATTGTTGTCGGACAACTCCTTATCGCTGTCAACGGCCCAAAGCATTTCATCTTCGGTGCCGTCCATAGCGTTAGGAATTCCGCACTTCTTGAAGGCCTTGATAACCTTGGCAGTCGGGATCGTGCACCATGCATCTTTCACCCATCGCACGTGATGCGGCCCAATTTCCATCGCTCTCTGCGTACAATATCCCTTTTCTTTTGAATCCAGCATCATGGTGAACGCGGTGGGTCTGTGCAGTGGGAACTTCCACGCTGATATGAAAGAAACACAGGAGCTGGCTACGCAGCTTCTTAGCGCGTAAATGGGGGCGGCTATTTTGGAATATCGATGGCGATATGGTAGCGCAGTTTTGGTCACACTCGTTTGTAGCGCACATGCGATTTTTGGACCTTAGTTAGATTCAAGTAAATGCGGTAGTTTCTCAGTGTTATTGCGTTGCCTGCGGTCACTCTCGGCACAAGTTTCAGACCAGTCAAAAAATTATTGGAGAGGCCCTTTAAATCTCTGTATTCGGGAATGGATGGACACATTTCCAGGAATAGACGGAGACATATTCCCTGTAAATCAGCTCTTAAAATTATTAGTTACATGGTCATGGATGTTTTACAATCTGAATTTAGGTTGATTGGTGTCTTTGGCCAGGTGTTTTGGTACTGCCAACCTAGGTTTATAATTGCCACTGTAGCCACTTGTGGAATGTTTTTGTTAAAATGTTTACCATATGATTTGTAGACTTGCACTGACTTAATTTAAAAGTAAGTGAAGGATGTGCCCGTTCTGTCCTTCATCTTAATGTTCCTATTAATTCTTCCGTGGCATATTACCGTTAAGATTTCATCCATTAAAAAAGAAGCAATTTTTTTCAATGCTATGTATATATATAGTTAAGAGTTCAAAACCATATGCTTTGACCTTGATAGATCTACTTGTAAGTTTCAAATGATGTTACGCCCACACCAACCTGAATGTACCGATCACATTTTGACAATACTTGTCATGCATGGTCGCTCTCGAATTGCGCTTACCTATTGGTGGAAAGAAAAATTCTGTCTTTGTGTTGTGCATTTCTAGTGCTTCAAAACATTTACAGGGAATTAAGCCCTCCAGTTCCTTTAAATTATATATATTATGTTTGCGAAATTACAACAAAAAGAAAAAAAAAGTTTTTCTTCCTTGCACAGCTGTTTAACGCAGATATATTTACAATTTCTCCAGGTGGCCTGATGTACTATGAGAGGACAAAGAAGCCAGAGCCTGAACGTCGCCCGATCCTGGAGCTCCAGACGGTAGTCCGCGACATCTTAAAAGACTTCTTGCCTGATGTTGCGAGGCAGGGCAGAAGGAGGGTCGCTCCGAAAGAATAAAATGGCAGTGATTCCTTATACCATTTCACAGTGGAATTATTTACTCAACGGCAAGTACATACTAGTTGAACCAGCGTGACAAGTTAATGTGACCAGTTGAACCACCATGACACGTTCAACCACCATGACCAGTTCAACCGGTTCAACCAGTATGACCAGTGTGACCAGTTCAACCACCATGACCAGTGTGACCAGTTCAACCACCATGACCAGTGTGACCAGCTCAACCAGTATGAAACTGGTCAAACTGGAGCAATATCCAAGTTTGAAACTGGTACCAGTTTGAACTGGTTGCCAGTTTAAACTGGTCTTTCCAATAGGGCTCTAAGGCAGAGATTGCTTCAGGACGTCACCATTTTGTCGCTGGTCGCATTTTAATGTGTTTTGTCCTTTGCAGGGGAAGCGGTTGCGCTTGCAAGTGAGATTTGCCAGTTTATATTGAATCAGTAGATTTGACAATGATTGCTACCCTAAATTTGATATTACGAATAATCATGATTGTTCTCTTCCGGGTTATGCTCCGTTTGCCAAATACAAACGCAGACTGAAACGAATGCCCCCTAAAAGCTTGGGTTTGGGCTAGTTGGTTGTACATCAAAAGACGTGCTGCGCTGCGAAGTTCTACAGAACAAACGCGTGCCCAAAAATTGAAAGGAAAAGGAGAAGTTTACACTGAGATGAAGAGAAACACAGCGAACACGAATGGGCGCAGACTAACGACTGTTTATTCTTTTCTTTTTCCCTCCTTTTCAGTGCATGAGTTTCCCAATGCGCGAGTTTAGAAAGGAGCGAACGCTATGAAATAATGATAAATGTCTTCATGAAGATGTGTGGGCTTTCGACTTTTGTGGTGTTTTTCCCTTTTCTGATAAACGTTCGGTTTGTGTTCAATTGCTGCTAGGCAAGCAACACTGCTTGCCTAGCAGTTCAGCGCCGGGACCTTACACAGGAAGGTCCCGACGCTGGTGCGGGCTTGGCCACGCCGCGTGAACGGCGAGCCCCGCCCAGTCCCGGTGCTGTGCCGTTCCTGCTTCAGGTCCCCAGCCCGACCGGCTCAGTCCTCAGAGCCAATCCTTATCCCAAGGTTACGGATCCGTTTTGCCGACTTCCCTTACCTACATTGGTCCATCGACTGGAGGCTGTTCACCTTGGAGACCTGCTGCGGATGTGGGTACGGTCCGGCACGAAAATCACACTCCCTCACTCGGATTTTCAAGGGCCGACGCGAGCGCACCGGACAGCGCAAGAGCCGCACTGCTCTACGGAGCCACCATCTCTATCTCGGGGCGAACCCATTCCAGGGACTCGATCTCCTTACAGAGAAAAGAAAACTTTTCCCGGGGCTCGCCCAGACAGCGAACAAAAAAAACACGTTCGTCAGACTTTCCAGATGGCGTGTTTTCGAGTATCCTCCTCCACTGTCGATCTGAAGCCATTATGTTAACTTCGTGCAGTCAAATTTATTGAAGATATTAATAAAAATTTTGTTGTTACTGCCTGGAGACTTAACATAAATAAAGGGCCGATCAACCTAAGTATATAAATGATAAGTAAATGCACCCCCAAATTATCTCAAGCCTTCTTTTTCGTTATCTTCGAGAGGGACGTGTATCAGTGATAAAAAAAACGGAAACATTATTTTTTTAAGCTGATTAAAATAACATGTCTTCCTCATGCATACTCAACTTCTCAAACATAAAGGAGTCTGTTGTGCATTTTATTTGATGAACAACAATTTTAGGTGTATATGGGCTGGATGAGTTTCGGAAAACCGACGGCAAGAAAACGACCAATTAAGTAGCCGTCATGTCGAGTAGACTATGAACTACTGCTTAGCTCTATTTATGATGAACAAAAAAAATAGCACAGATGATGCTTACTTGCAAATTGAATCGACTGTTATCTTGTAAAGAAAAAACCTCAAATGGCAGGCTATGTCGGAATTGTCCACTCTGATGCGCGCTATTTTAGGCCAGATCCGATGCGAATACAAGGCGCAGTCTTCCTATAAAAAATAGAGGGTCTGTCCTTAAAAGTTTTATGACATTTCGAAAACATTATTGATCTGAGCTCCGTTGCATCGCCATCACCTATATATGTTGCGAGGACGTCTCGATTTCATGATTTCCTGCACTGCAATAACTTTCAGAGTCGAAGAATACAGCTGGAACATTCTGCGATGCAAAGTTGTACCAATCACGCGTATTTTAGGCGACCCAACAGACTGATAACTTTTAGATTCAGGTTAAAATATAACACTAAAAACACAAAAAAAAATCAAGAAAAGACAGATATTAATGTAGTTTGTCATTTACTGTTCCATCAAATTTAAATAACGCAATTTATTTCTCGGTACCTGAATATAAGTGAATTCTAAAGATGAATATCTCTTTAGCTGCTGAAACCATTCTTTTTTTTTTAGTTTTGTACGGAACGCTGTTTGTTCATCTTAGCAAAAATATAAAATAGCGAAAAAAATACAAGGATAAGAAGTATACAGGACAGGCGCTCACTTTCAACTAGTTTTATCCAGGAAAAGTAAACGTACGTATATATATATAGCTTCGATTCAGGAAACGTGCCCACGGCAGCCGAGAAGGCAACAGCCTCGGATGGTTTGATCGTGCTTGAGGACATCAGCATTCCAGCTGAAGTATCTTCTGCCCTTAAGAACATTTGCGTGGTGCTGCTTTGCCTGGTGTATATATATATATATATAAATCAGCGCCTGTTTTGTATACTTCTTGTCCTTGACTTTTTGTGATATTTTATATGTTCTACATTAGTTTTGTGCTCCCCAAAACCGAAGCAAACCAATAAAACATTCGGTTCCACACTCTAATGGAAACTAAAAGCTTAGAAATAAAGAGGAAAAAAAAAGAAAACAATTCTGTAATAGGCTCATTCCACGTGAAACGTCCCAGACGTTGCGGTCGACCACCTCCGATTTCTAAAAAAAAATTCTTGGCCTTCGGCCACAATGTCCGTGGCATACCCTAAAATAGTTTTGACGAAAAAAAATTTGTGTTGACGTGAGCGGGATTTTAATTTTTGAAAACAGCGTGAAACTAGGCATCACTCAATAATTTACGAGCTTTCGTATCTGTAGTAAACTTTTGCAATAGCGTTTTATATGTAGAGTTAATAATAGAAAAAAAGAAACGGCAAGGCAACAATGAATATGCCTTCTTACCAACAATGCCTTCGAACTTGATAAGGTCATTATTTCTTAGCTTCCATCCACTGCGGCAGCGAATTCAGGTCTAATTTACTATTGAGAGTGCTATTAAACATATATGAAGCCATATTAACAACTTTTCTAAAAAAAGCATTAGCATAAAAAACAAACCAATAAAACACGCCAGTATAATAATTTAGCAATACTCACTTATCCTTGCTAAATCTAGAATTGTAGGAAAGTATTATCAGATTAGTGCAGTTCAATACACACACACACACACACACACACACACACACACACACACACACACACGCACGCACACGCACACATACGCACACAAACACACGCACACACACACACACAGATATATATATATTGTAGCGGAGACGCTGAGTGCGGAGTGAACAAAAAACATAAAAGAGAAGCAACCGGCACGCGACGAAGGGAATGCTCGTCGTGCTCGTGCGTGTGCGCGAGGCAGTTGGAAGCCAGCCACCGAAGATGTCGGACTTCTCTGTGCGGTGATTAAACCAGTTAAAAAGTTGTAACAATATATATATATATATAAACGAAATTGTGCAGATGAATGAACCGTACTTAATCCAATGAATTAAAGAATCCAAGTTTCCAGGAACCCGCCGAAAGCCAAGAATTGGCGGAGCGAGGATATATATATATATATATATATATATATATATATATATATATATATATATATATATATATATATATATATATATATATATATATATATATACCGGGTGTTCATTTTTAATTCGAACAGATTTATTAAAAAAAATCCGTAAAAGATGCACTGATACGGTTTGTGCAGGTGAGTTACACGGCCAGGGGGACATATTATAGGGGGCTAATCGTAACGATCAGTTGGCTAATTAGTCAAAATTCGTTAATTAACTTTTCAATTAATGAAAATAGACATATGGTTCCAATTATAAACTTGCTCAGCGTCATCGAAAAGCACTAAATCAGTCATTTTCTGAAAGACTTTGAGCGCGAGAGAAGTGTAGTAGTGCACTGAAGTTACCACTCGTGGAGCAGGTACAAGGCTGGGGCTAGATAAGCGACGGAAAAATCGCGCGGGTGCCTTGCCGCAACCGCTAGCTTTGTACCTGCTCCACGAGTGGTAACTTCAGTGCACTACTACACTTCTCTCGCGCTCAAAGTCTTTCTGAAAATGACTGATTTAGTTCTTTTCGATGACGCTGAGCAAGTCTCTAATTGGACCCATATGTCTTTTTTCATTAATTAAAAAGTTAATTATAGAATTTTAGTTAATTAGCCAACTGATCGTTACGATTAGCCCCCTATATTATGTCCCCCTGGCCGTATAACTCACCTCCACAAGCAGCATAAGTGTAACTTTCACGGATTTTTTTAAATAAATCTGTTCGAATTAAAAATGAACACCCGGTAAATATATATATATATATATATATATATATATATATATATATATACATACATATATCAGGGTGTCGAACCGGAACCGAACCGAAAACCGGAACCGAACCGGTATTTTTTCCGGAACTGAACCCGAACCCGAACCGTTATATTGTTATCGCGATGAACCCGAACCGGAACTGAACCGGAAAAAAATAACGGTTACCGGCTCATGTCAAAACGGTTCGGCCACGCGCTGTTGACAATGAATGTGCCATCAATGCCATTTATTTTTTAAGTGCCGTCAACTGACACACACCTCGCTTACATATTTTTCTTCTCCACTCAGTCTTAGGAATATAAACGCTGCATCCACGAATCTTGACAAACGCTGCATCCATGAATCTTGACATAGGAACCAGTATTGCGCTGGTCC